GAGCCCTCCTTCTGCACTCAGTTACTACAATCACCCAGAGAGAAATTGCACTGCAAATGAAGAAAATTGTTCTCCTCCCTTTTTTGCTTAGAGCAGACAAATGATGCCAAGGGAGAAAAGCAGCAAATTTATGAACTTCTGGCAGTTGAACGTTGGGCCCTTTCCAGAGGGACATTGGGTACTGACCCCATCTTTGCTTTATTTTTACTTGTGACACTCAAGGCAACCTAACATTTGCTGGTTTTTGCTGGAAATTTCAGAAACATTTTGCTTTTGAATTTCATGGTGTTTGTTGTATCTGCTCCCAAGGGATGAACTCAGATGTGTGGCAGACCCATTTAGGCACCCAGAGCAATATCAAAACCAAAACATTCTGTGATATGTTGGGATTGCAAAGCATTTTATATTGATGGATTGAAACAGCTTTAAAATTGGATTAAAATGGACCATACCCAGGCTTCAAAGAGCTAACATGTTTTTTGATGAACCCTCAGGAACAGTGAGTTCACTATTACTAATGATGAAGGAAATTAGATCAAAAGGCACACTCTTTGACTGGAGCATCAACAAAATCTGGTATCTGTCCTAGAATTTCCTTCTGCAGGAATACTGATTCTATGGCTCAGTGTCTGTAAAGATTCCCAATCCTTGGCTGATGTTAAGTCCCATCTGGGATACTAGCAAGGGTAACAATGCATAATTCAATGTGTTTAGGGATACAGCAGCTATATATGTCTAGTGAAATATGCATCATTATGGCATGTTCTGTACATGAGAACAACAGTGTTCCATGCTGCTGGGTTACCAGATATTTTAGTATTACTTTTGGTATCTCTGTATCTACTGCTTCTAAAGGCAGAAAAACAAATCTTATATCTTTCAGACAAGGGTGGTCTGAAGCTTCAGGTGGAAAAACAAAGTGATTACAATTAACAGATAGTATAAGCTGACTGTTTCATTTGCCTTATTTTGCCTAGTAGTAAAAAAATGGAGTTTACCTATCAAATTCACGAGATCACCATAAATCAACAGGTGTCTTGGAGATATACAGACAAGCAAGGTTGCGAGGAATTTCTCAGTGCCAGTAAGACTATATGTGAGGATGTAAAGCAAATTAAAAGCTTTTCATCTCACAGGCATATATCTTGTTTTCTCCCAGGATTATCTGTTATTTCTCTCAGCCTTAAACCATAGGGCTTCTATGCTATATTTGATTCTCCTGAATGATTGAAGATAGCTAGCATTCAGAGCAGAGGGAGACAAGGGAATCAAAACTGATTATTACTCAAGGCAAGGCTGTTGTGCCTTTGTTATGAGTGATGAGTTCATGCCTATTATAGAGCCATAAGGCAGCCTGCTTGGTAAAGATGCCAGACCTTCTGTGTGTGTTCAAGAGGAGACTGGCTCTCTGCCTGCAAATGAGGGAACTGAACAATGGCCATCTTTGGAGCTTTAGTGATTAGAGCTTTGGGAAGGTGACGCTTCTTACATAGACCTCCAGCCAAGGGAGCAGCTGATGCAATGTAAGTGAAAGAACGCAGAGAAAGAGAGAAAAGGGAAAGCAGTGAGAGCTGAGAGTTATTTGATAAATGAACATGGTATATGAAGGACATACCCTCCAACTGATGCAATTTGGAAGAGGCATTCCTGACTAATCCTCTCTCTCATTTCATTTTTCCAGTTGCTTTTTAAATGTCCCACTTTCTCTTTCCTTTTCCCACTCTCCCCCTTGTCCTCAGCTTGCTTCTACTGGTGACATCTGATTCCTAATTCTGCAAGTATTTCCTACTCAGTTAACTCAATATCACTGTTACCCCCCGGCCCCAAAGTAGGCTTAGGCAAGAGCATGCTGATGCAGCCTCTCCTAAAATGCACATACTTCCTCATTTATAAGTTTTGCCAGTTTGCTTATACTCTGTCATTGTTTGGCCACACATGCCCAAGTCTTCATCTGTGAAACGTTGGAATGTATGTAATTACAGTCCAAAAACAGTATCTCCCAAGGAAAACTGTGACAAACTAGCATGTCTACACATTCAAATTAAAATACTAATGTTGTCTGTATCAATGCTTTCAAGCATTGCTTTTTTGTTTTTGGTTTTTGAACTATAGCAGTCTTGGAGTTGCTGTTTTGTTACTTCAAATGGTTTCCGACCTATGACAACTCTAAAGTGAACTTGGCAAGCCTTGTTCAGAAGATGTTGGCCATTGTCTTCCTTTGAGGCTGAAAAAGTGTGACTTGCCCAGTGGGTTTTATGGCTGAATGGGTATTTGTATCCAGGTCTCCAGTCATAGTCTAAGGCTCAAACCAATACACTACACTGGCTCTGTCTTGAAGTTGTGCTCCAAAAGAAGCTATGGTGAGGTTCCTTATCTCAGAGAAGAGTACCATGACCATCCATATATTAAGTAGCTTTTATTCCCTAAACATAGAAGACAGTAAGTGCATGTATGTATGAAGAAGAATAGAGTGCTTTTCAGGTTTTCCTGTAAATTCCCTTAAAAACAACAAGGCTTCTGCAAAGCAATGCAGCAGATTAATCAGGCCAGTTTCTAAGATGGATTTTGACAATGACAATTAGCTACAACTCAAATTCAGGATATGTGACAAAGAGAAGTTTAGAAACAGATGGTTTAGAATAAAATGTATGTAATTCTTGATCTTAGATCAAGAACAGATATGACAGCTGAAGGTGTAGAGCTGTCCAGCAATCTGAAATACATTATGGAAAGCTATTGTGTAAGTAGATGCTGGATAGCTCCTAACACAACATAAGGAATAATTGCTACCTCCTGGCTATGCCAATGCAAATCACCAAGAGGATTCAACCCATCTCCCAAATGATGATACATTTGAGGTCCCAGTGATTTCATTTCCTTGAATGCAGATAAAATGCATTGGGATTTCTATGATATAGTGTTTATTTATTCATGCGGTGTATACAAACTAAGCATGAGATATGGGTTCACAACATTAAAACCTGAATAAAATTTTAGTTTCCATCAGAGAAGCCAGTAATCCCTCAGGACTAGCTAGGTACCTACTTACTTTTCAGATCCAGTTTCGGCACCGAGTGCTGCCAAACTACAGCATTATCACTTCAGTCCCTTGCCAGAACAGGGAAGGTCTCTTGTTATCCTGGAGCTCCAGCAGATGACATGATTTCTCCTGTTTCCTTTCTAGGGATTTGATGTGAGGCAGCCAATATGTGCCACTGAGTTCCTCTTACCATGTGTATAGATTGCGTACAGTTGAGGAGATTTAAGTCCGTGGCATTCTCTGCTCCTGGGTACTGTTGTCCATGGACATTTTTACCCATTCAGAAAAGTAGGAATAGCTGACATCTTGAGTTTTATGCTGTCTGTTTAGTTTCATGATCACCAATTAACATGAATACTACTTATTGAGGGGTTGAATTAGATTGAAATGGTGGGTCATACCCTTCTTGTTTTTAAAAGGACATCCCCAAATGTGAATTGGCTCTGACAGGCCTAAAAACATAACATAATACCCTTATGCCCTTTACAATTTCAGGGCATGTCGGCTTCCAGATTTCCTTGGCAGCTCCTTGCCTTCCACAATTTATTTAATTGAGTAGATTTTTACCCCACTTTTTCCCACACCAAGGTGAGGCTCAGAGCAGCTAACAATACAATAAGAACATACAAAGTTTTAAAAAAAAACATATTTAAACCCGAAAATTCCTTATAGCAACCTGACTATCTAAAACTATCAGTGATAATAACCCAATTTACAAATATAACACACATATTTAAAAACAATGGTCCATCCTAATCTAGAAACCGGCTAAGTCTTTCCATTTTCTCTATTAAAACATGTCTGATAAGAAGCAGTGTTTTAAAGCAAAAGATTGCTGGGGAGTTTGAGAATTGTCAATATAATTATATGAGTCATCTCAGAACCTAGGCCCATTGAGTCTGTGTGGAGGACTGCAAACCTAGGAATGAGCATTTCCACATGTTTTGCTCCACCAGTAGTTTAGTGTGGTAGATGTTTATCAGTGTGAGTGTGTGTTATTTATGTGCATGCCTTAGTTTGGGTTAGTTGCAGATGGTGGCTGGCATTCTGTTAGTGGCATAGGCATGCATAAATCACACTAAAATGCAGGACCAATTACTCATGCAACACACTTATTCTGCTAATAGTGAAGTACAGCAGTATTGTGCAGTGTGCATTGCTCATTGCACAATGGCACCCAAACTTTGGTAGCCCCTTGTGAAGCAGTGGGTTAAACCCTTGTGCCAGCAGGACAGAAAGACCAACAGGTTGCAAGTTCGAATCCGGGGAGAGCACGGATGAGCTCCCTCTATCAGCTCTAGCTCCCCATTGCAAGAACATGGGAGAAGCCTCCCACAACACATCAAAACACCCTGGGCAACATCCTTGCAGACGACCAATTCTCTCACACCAGGAGCAACTTGCAGTTTCTCAAGTCGCTCCTGGCATGGAAAAAAAACCCCAAACTTTATCAGGTGTTTCATAATGTTGAAGTACCACTTAGGAGCTCCAATAATGCTGGTATAACTATAAATACTTATGCTACATTGGAGGATTTTGGGTGATAGCCCATTGACATGGAAGCTACCTGCTGCTGTTAGTATTGTGTGTGTGCGTGCACGCACGCATGAGAAAGAGAGGAAGTGTGTCTTTATGAATGTGACTTACTTTGAACATGTGAATGTCTATGCCTGGAATTAGAAAGATGTGTTCAGGTATCTGTGCTATGTATAAATATATATATGAAAGTGTCTGTGTGTAGATATGTTTATAGATATGAAGTTTCTGGCAGGCATCCAGGAACATATTTCATCCTTGAGCCAGTGTCTTTTTTACAGGAATACAGCTCCTATAAAATATTGAGCTTGCTACAATTAGGAAAGGGAAACTGTACTTGCAGCATTCTAGTTTTATACTGTTGCTTGCTAAGATCTGTTTCATTCAAATCTGCTGGTGACTGATTTTCTTCTTTCATCAACAGGTTCAAAGACCAGGGATGGAGTTGTTCAAGGAGTCACAACAGGTAAATCCAAATCATAATTTCTGATTCTGTGTCCATCATAAATTTGCCACCAACCCCGTAAAGAAGTCTTTCATCTCTGATGGAGCTCTGATTCATGACAGTGAGTCGGTGGGCAATGAAACCAAGTGTGCTGGAAAGCACGTAGCTAGTGTCACTGGGGAATGGATGTGCCTTTAGGTAAAACTTATAAGGATCTTAATTTGCATTGTGATTCTACTTCCTTTGACTATTGAAAAAGCTCTAGTACACCAATAGATGTTCAGCAATCAGCAAATTGGCTCACATCCTTATCTAGTCTTGAGCAACGGCTGGTGTAAAGCCAGTCTAATTAGCTTAAGATGGAGAATTGTGCCCCAGGGCTGTTTCTTTTTCCCCAGCAATTGTGTCTCAGAGAGGTGCATTAATGGAGACTGAACATTCCCATTTTGGCATGCACAGTTCCAATTAATCCTCTGTTGTCCCACTTTTTAAATTGCTCTTGTAAGGCCCCAGTTTTTTCTCCTATGTTCTCCCTCTGTCCTCAGCTTACTTCAGATGCTGCAAACTGAGTTCATAGTACAAGAGTAGTCAATTAACTCCAAAGAGGAGAAAGAGGAACCTTGCCCTTCCAAGTAGGCTCAGGCAAAAGTAAACTGGCTTATTTGTTCCTCCTCATTAATAATTTTTGCCATCTTGACCACACTATGATGTTGCTTGGCCACACATATTCCAGCGTTCATTTGTGAAATGTTGGAGGGTATATGCAAATGTGTACCCCTGTAGTAATTAGGGGTTTAAAGTAGAAAACAACATGTTCTGTGGTGGAAACAATTTCATGGAAAGCCAATAATTTAAGAGCTGCACAAAGTTCATCATTGTGCCATAAGGTAAGGTAAAGGTTTCCTGACATTAAGCCTAGTTGTGTCTGACTCGGAGGTGTGTTTGGGGGGGGGGGGGTGCTCATCTCCATTTCTAAGCCAAGGTGCTGGCGTTATCCGTAGACACTTCCAAGGTCATGTGCCCAGCATAACTGCATGGAGCACCATTACCTTCCCGCAGATGTGGTATTTATTGATCTATTCACATTTGCATGTTTTTAAATTGCTAGGTTGGCAGAAGCTGGGGCTAACAGTGGGAACTTACCCTGCTCTCTGGATTTGAACTGCCAACCTTTTGGTCAGCAAGTTCAGAAGCTCAGTGGTTTAATCTGATGTGCCACTAGTGAGCCATACTCCTGTATAATATAATGTGTCATGCTCCTGTATAATGTAACGGAGATCGGTCTATATATCCAAAGGCATTCCCTTTGGGTCTGTCCCAGACAGTGTGACTTGAAGCCAGAATCTCAGATGTAATCTCAGCACACCACATCTCTGCACTCACATTGCAGTTGGGAAATGGAGTCTGCTGGGTGGTAAACACTGCCAATAGTATGGTCTGGGTAACACTACAGAATAATAGTGCTATCATTCCACTTTAACTGCTATGGTGCTGTGTTATATAACCCTGGGGTTTGTAATTTGATGTGGCACTGGAGCATGCTGGTTGATAACTCTGAATCCCCTTCCTGAACTGTCAGTCCCAAGATTCCATGGGCCAGAATCATGGCAATTAAAGAGCAACAATTCTACTATAAATCAGTAGTGTGAATAAAGTTCAGATGAACGAGATTTCTGGAGATATAATTATCAATTTTTTCCACCTCTGGAGTAGTGCCCCCAGTAGTATACTGGGTTAAACCATTGAACTGATGAACATGCTGACCAAAAGGTCGCCGATTCAAATCCAGGGAGCGGGGTGAGCTCCCACTGTTAGCCCCAGCTTCTGCCAACCTAACAGTTTGAAAACACAAAAGTGGGAGGTACCATTCTGGCGGGAAGGTAACAGCACTCCATGCAGTCATGCTGGCTACATGACCTTGGAGGTGTCTATGGATGACACCGACTCTTCAACTTAGAAATGGAGATGAGCATCAACCCCCAGAGTTGGACATGACTGGACTTAATGTCAGGGAAAAACCTTTACCTTTACCTTAGAGGGTAGATGTTTGATGAACAGAAGCAATACCATTCCAAAAGAAATTATTTGCATTTGACAGATCCAGCCTTAATTGGTAAAGCATTAATAATATTTCCAAATGGAGGAAGGAGAGAACAAAGTTTTCTTCTCAGCATGAGCCTGAGAAAGCCTAGGAGGGACCTGTTGGGAACTAGCACCATTGTTTGTTTGTTGTTTTTTTTAATGTGTTTTTCAATGTGCTGCTTTTTATTAAGTATACAGCATGCATATTTACAGGGCAAAGTGGCTTGACAAGTGAAGCATAAGATGATATGGGATAACAAATGCACTTCACCTGCATTCTTTTCTCTTTCGTGCTCAATCTCTGTGCATTTAGAGAACTGGTGGCTCATTTTGTGTGGGCTGGATTCCTGCTGCTGAATGTATGAAGCCATTGAATCTTTTTGTCATCTAGGAAAGGCTAAAAGAGGACAGCCCACAAGGTGTTTGCTCATAGCATTTCTTGAAGCTCTGTGCAAATGCCAAGGTTAAGAGAGGGAATGCCAGACTCCTTTATCATCTGCTGTTCATCCTAATGTCTAAGGATTTACTCTTCCTACTACTCAACTGAATTTTTTTTTAGCTTGTTTCTTCTGGAAAAAAAAAACCCCACTAAGCTCTATGTGTGTGTTGATATCATTTAACAAATTAGTTTTTATAAATTTGGAAAACATTTCCAAGGAAAGCAGGTGTTGCAGTTTCAACTTTACATTTACCCACTCCATACTGCTTGACTGGTCCACTAAAATAACAGCTAAGGAATACCCAAGTCTATCAAGACAGTAAAAAAAAACCCTTTTAATTAAACTCATCACCTTCCTCTAGGCAACAGAAAAAGGTGATCATAGTAGGAGCAATTGGATCACACACTCACTCCACCTCTTGAGTGTTATGGTGGTATGATGGGGCCAAATGAGCTCAGTTTTCTACACTCCCCAATGAGAGATGGTAAGTAAGTAGGCAGAGGTGGTGACCTCTATTTATCTATTCCATAGTGGCAACTGTAAGACTAGGGGAGTACATTATCTTTTCAGGAAACTTTGCAGTGCCATATTCCCCACTGCACCTGTTCCTGTGTGTGTGTGTGTGTGGGGGGGGGGGGGTTATGTCCTCTAAAGCTCCCAGACACCCTCTCAAACTCTGCTCCTCCAGGTGTTTTGACTACAGCTCCCAGAAATCCCAGCCTGCTTACCAGCTGTTAGGAATTGTGGGAGCTGAAGCCCAAAATACCTAGAGCATCAGAGTTTGAGAAACACATCTCTAGGGGATATGGAGAAATGTCTGAGGCTTTCCTGGAACTTTAGAAGAGAGAGAAGGGGGGAGGAGAGAGAGACTACAATACCCATCCCAGCACTATGTAAAAGCCATCATTTGCTTATGTTCTTCAACTGGATGGCACTGTCCAGTTCCTGTCACTGCATTGCCCTTGAGTTAGCACATGCTCCTTGTGCTAAGGAGCCCCTGGTGATGCAGTGGGTTAAACCCTTGTACCAGCAAGACTGAAGACTGACAGGTCGCAGGTTCAAATCTGGGGAGAGCGTGGATAAGCTCCAGCTCCCCACGCGGGGACATGAGAGAAGCCTCCCACATGGATGGTAAAACAACAAAACATCTGGGCATCCCCTGGGCAACGTCCTTACCGGCAGCCGATTCTCTCACACCAGAAGCAACTTGCAGTTTCACAAGTCACTTTTGATATGAAGAAAAAATGCATAAGCTGGAAGAGCATTCTAGAAGAGAGCATCCTAAACCAACTGGAAAGAGTGGCTTTGATCATTTTCTCATTTCTTCTTATTGAGAGAAGGAGACACTGATTGAGTATGGAATCAATTCCTGCAAGAGCTCACTCACTCTTTTCTGGCTCACCAATTCCCCCACTCTTATGTCATGGCATGTTCCTGAGGTTGGCCAGGAAGTATGCAGCCAGGAAAATGCTATAGGAATTTAATATGTGACTATTAAATTATTGCATGAAGCAATAACTTCAAAGGTTTTCTTTCTAGTTGGACAGAGGTTATAAGATTTTCTTGTGCATATTTTTTTCAGGATGTTTTTCCAATCAATTATAGAAAAAATGCCACAATAAAGGAAAGCTCCCAGTGTTTTAGCATAGACAATTCTTGTGCTCAAGACATGTGGTCATTTTTTTCCCACTGTGCTAAAAGTTCTTTTTCTGTAGACACAATTTTTGGCCATTTGTTTTGCAAAACTCCCTAATTACATTAGTGCAATGACCACTTTTGAGAGGAAGCCAGATATGTCAAGATACTCTAGTTCAGAGAATATAAGAAAATTAGGGAGTATTCTAAACATTTCTTAGAAAGGAGCACCTACTGTTAATTTCTTTCTTGCTCACCATCTGTGAACACTACAGCAAGATGAACATGCTTCTGAGGGTAGGCATTGTCCATAAGAAGATCGTGTTCCTATCATCTAACCCCACCTGCTCTGAGCATTATAGTGTACAAGAAGATCAGGCGAAGCTACCCCATCTTCTCTTGCTCACATGAATTTTCCCTCTGGGAGAGCTAGAAGTAGGGATTCTCAATGGACCAAATACTTAGTTTGGGGCCATTTAGAGAGAAGGTGAACAAGAGGAAGTAGCTGCTGCCTACACATACTGGCCTACTGTCTGCTCATTCATTTCTACAGGATTAATGATTCACCATATGATTAATATAATGTGAAAAATGCATTATATGAAAATGAGGATACCTGGATTGGGAGGACTAATATATTGCAAGCCTCTTTGCTTTCTTGCTGATTCAGGCAGAGAAATGGGAAGTAAGTAAACAAGATATGTTGCCAAAAACAAAAAGTGGTCTTTCTTTATGGAAGCAACCATTACTCCAGTCTGCTCATTGGTCTTCTCTACCTGGGCCAAATGGTGGACTCAGTAAATTAGGCCCAATTCTACCACATTGGATTCAAAGAATGCGCATGAGGATTGGAATAGGGGTTGCCAGAGTTTGAAAGTAATGCGTTATTTGAAATCAGTTACAGGACTTTTTGGATTAACTCAAAAATGCAATTCTCTGAGATAGCCAAACAGACCAGAGAACTGACCACATGAAAAAATTCAGCTTTCTCCCTCCTTCTATCACTGTGCATATTTTTTTCACAGTGGCTGAGAAGACCAAAGAACAAGTGTCAAATGTTGGGGGAGCGGTAGTGACTGGAGTCACAGCTGTAGCACATAAGACGGTGGAAGGTGCTGGAAACATTGCTGCAGCCACTGGCTTTGTCAAGAAGGACCAACTGGGAAAACAGGTTTGTTTTGTTGCTCTGTCTCTGAAAAGGACCAATCTGATATTTTTCTGCGTATCCTCTCCCCCTCTCCCCCCTCCCTTCATCATCTCTCTTCTTCAAAACATTTAAGTTGATGATGGGGGAAGTGACCCTCTTTCTAGATCAGGATACCCATGTGGGTCCCCATGTGTTTTGGCCCACAACTCCTAGAAACTTCAGCCAGTTTACCAGCTATTAGGATTTCTGGGAGTTGAAGACCAAAATATCTGGAGACCCACAGGTTGAGAACCTCTACATATTGTTGCTCTATAATTCTATCATTTCCAGGCAACATACCACCGGTGAGAGATTATGTAGTATAAAAGCATCAGGGAAGTCTCATGACTCCTGACCAGATCCAGGTAAACACAAATAATGATGGATTGTCATAATATTACATTGTCTTGCCCTGCTTCACACTGTTAGCTGTTTGGATCAAGATAGTGCTGTGGCATCCCAGCACGTGGGTGTTCAATTTATTACATTTCTGAAATGTCACCCCTCCTGACTCCCACAGCCACTTATCTTCTGTTTCTAACTGTCCAGCCAGAAAACTCCTACGACTTAATTAAGTGCACATTCTCCATGTCTGACACCTTGCAATGTGTCAGGGTCCACAAGCAGATTAGGAAAATATTGAGTACGCCAAAACAGAACTTTATTCTGAAGAGTCTTCACTACACTCTTGCAGCAATGCAAAATATTTTTGAAGAATAAGCCTTTACGGTTTTGACACAGTCTGAATCAGGATTATGAGCAAGGATTATGGATTAATGGTACAATGCACTTTATATGTTTTTAATCTGTTATTATTCTATATGTTTTATTTGCTTGACTGCGTAATTGTTTTAGCTGATGGGATATGTTTTATGGTTATGTTTTAAATGGCATGAATCTTGCTGGAGTTGTAAGCCGCCTTGAGTCTTACTACAAGGGTGAGAAAAGTGGGGTATAAACGAAGTAAATAAATACATAAATATGTTTAGTTAGCTGCCCCTCAAGGGATTCCAGGGCAAGTCCTAAAATTATCAGCTTTCAGCATTAACTGAGTGTCAGGAGATTATAAACACTATCAATACAGTCCAAGGAGGTCAGAGAAGCAGACATTATTCCTCTCTATATCCTATGATCTTTTCAGGCATGCTGCTGAAACTATTTGGAATCACTGGGTCCCAGTGGCAGTTGAGCAGGGGGGTAGGGACTTGTTGCCCCACACCCCACTCCATTGCAGCTTCCCCCTTGCCTCATCACATTGCGGAGAGCCTTTTTCAGCAACTCAACCCATCTTTCCTAATGGAAAGATAGGGAGCCTCCTGTTGTCCGCTGTCATAGTTATCCAAGGTGTGATGGCCGTTACTCTCCATGACTGAAATTAAATACTCCAGTTGCCACCACTGGCAAAAGGGCCGTGTGAAGAGGTCCCTAAAAGCTATGTGTGGTCTGTTCCATTGCATTAAAAACACTGACTAACTGACATCTGTTATCTTCACAGCTTAATAGAGATTCTAACCCAATGTGTTGTGCTTTCTTAAATATAAAGCTGCCTTACGATTGGGTAGAAGAGTTGTCTGCCTGGCCCTCTCTTCTTTACTATGACTAGCAACACCTGAAACTCAAATTGTTGCTGTTTTTTGTTCCTCCTCCTCTTCCTCCTCCTTTTTTCTTCAGAAGCTTAGAGTTGAAAAAACCAATAGGGTTAAAACATGCAAAAAGTACACTGTGAAATACCATCACCTTATGTAAGACACAAGATGCTGGAGCTCACACCAGGAATCGCCTTAACTTGCCTGATGTTGCAAACCAAAGGCAGTAAGAGATGGTCCTCTAGCACATTGCAAAATCAAGTGAAACACTTAGTAAATTAAATGTTCTGTCTCACTAACGTCTTATTTCAAAAGAACTCTACTGTCAATTCTCTCTCAGAGATATTGTAGAAGGCTGTTTTATACCTTTCTTCTGTGATATTTTAAAGTGTGTAATATTTAAAGTGTTAAAGGAAATAATGCTTTACTTTACATTTGGTTTAGCTTTTTTGTATCAATACAATTTCTAAGCATTTACAACTAGCAAGTAGCAAACCACTGGGGAATTGGACAAAAATCTGTTAAAAGGAAAGTTGTCAGATTCAGACTGAGTGAAATAAACTTTCCAAGTTATTATATTTTTATCACTTGTGGACAACCCTCTCTATCAGAATCAGAAGTTTTATGCGATTTTATGCAGAACTTTGAAAACAATGTCCATACTGATGTAGCAATTATATCAAAATACAAATAATGTTACAGTTACTTAAATGAAGTTGTTAGGTAGACACACAACATGAATGGGAGGCTATCAACACTATATTTTGTAATTATTTTTTTATTTAGACAGGTTAAAACTAAACCTATATACAAAACAAAAAACAACATCAATAACAAGATTAAAATACTTTCTCTATAATACTACACTCTAAACATAAAAATCTAAAACAATAACTATAGACTGCAAACACTATCTGTTATTGGGTTGTTGTGTGTTTGTATGGCCATGTTCCAGAAACATTCTCTCCTGAAGTTTCACCTGCATCAATGGCAGGCATCCTCAAAGGTTGTGAGGTCTGTTGGAAACTAGGAAAGTGAGGTTTATATATCTGTGGAATGTCCAAGGTGGGAGAAAGAACTCTTGTCTGCTTGAGGTAGGTGTGAATGTAGAAGTTGACCACCTTGTTTAGCATTTAATGGCTTAGCAGTTTTCAAGGTGTGGCTTCTTACTGCTGGGGGAATCTTTTGTTGGGAGGTGATTAGCTGGCCCTGATTGTTTCTTATCTGGAATTCCTGTGTTTGTGAGTGTTGTTCTTTATTTACTGTTACAATTTTAGATTTTTTAAAATACTAGTAGCCAGATTTTATTCATTTTCATGGTTTCTTCCCTTTTTGTTGAAATTGTCCACATGCTTGTGGATTTCAATGGCTTCTCTGTATAGCCTGACATGGTACTTGTTAGAGTGGTCCAGCATTTCTGTGTTCTCAAATAATATGCTTTGTCCAGGTTGGTTCATCAGGTGCTCTGCTATGGCTGACTTCTCTGGTTGAAGTAGTCTGCAGTGCCTTTCATGTTCCTTGATTCGTGTTTGGGCAATGCTGCGTTTGGTGGTCCCTATGTAGACTTGTCCACAGCTGCATGGTATACGGTAGACTCCTGCAGAGGTGGGAGGAATCCCTCTGCAGGACAAGAGGGATCCTCTCACCTCTGCAGAAGTCTACTGTATACCGTGCAGATGTGGACAAGTCTACATACCAAGTTTGGTTCAATTTTGGTGGACTTCGGAATGTTCTTTGATTGTAGGTTAACTCTAAATCCCAGCAACTACAACTCCCAAATGACAAAATCAATCCCCCACCCCAACTCCCCAGAATTCAAATTTGGGTGTATCAGGTATTTGTGCCAAATTTGGTCCAGTGATTGAAAATACATCCCGCATATCAGATATTTACATTACAATTCATATCGGTAGCAAAATTTAAGTTCTGAAGTAACAACAAAAATAATTTTATGGTCGGGGCTCACCACAATATGAGGAAATGTATTAAGGGGTCATGGCATTAGGAAGATTGAGAAACACTGGTATAAAAGAAACGGAGGAGGAGGAGGAGGAGGAGGAGGAGGAGGAGGAGGAGGAGGAGGAGGAGGAGGAGGAGGAGGAGGAGGAGGAGGAGGAGGAGGAGGAGGAGGAGGAGGAGGAGGAGGAGGAGGAGGACAACAACACAGAGGAGGAGGTGGAGTAATGCAGTCCTGTCCTTGGGATGTTGAATTCCAAGTCTCTCCCTAGCCAGCATAAGCAAGGGTGAGGAATGCTGGGATTGTGGTTCAACCTTTGGAGGGCCACATGATTCCCACCCCCGATCTTCTATGTTTGGTGATCACAAATGGATTGAAGCCTTTGCGTTCTACTTTATAGAGGAAAGTCCCCTATTTGAAGGGCTATCAGTGAGGCACGAAGGAAAAGGAAAGAGACCCTTAACTACATTGGGTACATTTAATTAGCATCCTCCTCAGCCACACTATATATCTTGGCTATGCCAATAGACAGTCATTGTAACCTTTCCTTTGGAGTGGCTCATGACTGGCAGAAAGATCACCACTGATGGGGTTTTGAACAGAGGAATTTTAATGAGTATGTATGCAATTGGACTCTTCAAATCAGACTGCAGTTGGGATTTGCATGTTTTAATCCTTCATAGATAGATATGAAAGAGGATATGGAGTCGACCTTCAAGAAGATTGAACCAACCACAGCTTGAAAATGTTTGGAAAATTATTTACTTTGTGTAGAGCACTATGCTGATGTGTAGATATACCCACTGTTTTTTTCTGCCATTTCATAGATGCTCAGGCTTTCTCTGGCACTCACTTGAGTTTTTTGCTATTTTATATCAGGGATGCCATTTTCCTACTCCAATGAAGCATTCACATATTTGGGTATCCACAGTGGCTCCTGGAACCAAAACCTCATTGAATACCAAAGAACTACTGTATAGATGGAGCCCCCGGTGACACAGTGGGTTAAACCCCTGTGCCAGCAGGACTGAAGATTGACAGGTCGCAGGTTCGAATCCGGGGAGAGGCGGATGAGCTCCCTCTATCAGCTCCAGCTCCTCATGCAGGGACATGAGAGAAGCCTCCCACAAGAATGATAAAACATCAAAATCATCTGGGCGTCCCCTGGGCAACATCCTTGCAGACGGCCAATTCTTTCACAACAGGATGCTCCTGACACGCCAAAAAAAAACTGTATAGATTTCTCCATGGGCTGTATTTATGTACTCAGAATCTAGTATAATACAACAAGTAAGGGCATCCCTGTGTCCTCTCTGACTTTTTTCTCCTCATGTGAAGACTAAAATAGTTCAGAAAGGTCAAAAATGTGGCAGAGTTGCATCCTGCACTACCTAGAGCAGTGGTTCTCAACCTTCCTAATGGTGTGACCTCTTAACACAGTT